CGCAATCATTTGCTATTCAAAATCTTTCTATATCTCTCTCATTTTTCTACGGGATGAGTGAAAAACCCAAAGCTCTCCTTTTAGCATAGACGATACCTTCTTCCCACTAGTCTTTTGCTTTCTTGCTAGAGGATTGTTTGGTAAATGCATCTGATTTCCTAGAATATTTTTATCTGTCTTGATTATAACTTTGTGTGAAAAGTCTTAATTTGTTCCTACCCTTACCACTCAAAACCAGAGAAAAAAATTTGCCAAGACTTTGATCGTTACCAATGGTAATGGTTTTTTTGCCAAGAAAAAATTAGAAAATAAAATGGTTGATTTGTAGTTGTGATACCTAGATTTGATGCATATTGTAAATGCACAGCCACAACCAGAATAGAAAACCATCACAATTCATACCACCACATGAAGTTTAAAGCCCGAACAAATAAATTAAAAATAGGACCAATAGCATTTAGAAAAAAAAAATCTTTATTCATATACAGTAAGTACTGTGAAATATTACTTAAGACGCATTAAGTAATTATTATACTTTTTACAATTATTAATTACTGAAACTGCAAGGATTCTGCTATTTAGTACAAATTATCTAAGATTCTAAAAGGGTCTTGCTTTTGTTTTTTCACGAAAGGAGATGAATTTGCTGTACTATGTAATGGCGACGATGGTGAAGATGGTGTGCTTAGCCTTCTTTGAGCAATTGCTCGTATCTTTTTAACTTGGTCTAGTAATGTGTGCTATATAGAAAATACAACGATCCAATCAGTGATTTAAAAAAAAAGTGCCATAGTCATTCTGTACATACTCGTAATACAAGAAGGTTTTTCAAAAAAATAGGTAAAAGGTCTTCTATGTCTGAGAGCATTGTGGGAAGTACCAATGTCGCCATTTCAACAAAAAAATAAAAATTTTGTAAACTATCATATGAAAGAGAGTAGATCGTTCAACTTGTACCTGTATAGCATAAAAGAAATTTTCGGTAAAAGAACAAAACATTAAATATATAACTTAAAATATCCTTTTTACCTGCCAGTAATTTGAATTCTGAGGGTGAAAACACTTTCAAGCTCCACCTTTTTAAAATGCAATTTGCTCTACAAGTTGTCTAAAAAATTTTTTATGACTATTTTAAGTTTTGAGTGATCTTTTCTGTATTTAGTATCATCTATAGATCCTTCTGTGTTTCCCACTTCAAGTGGTAGTAACTCATTTTTATAACTTCGCAATGTAACTATCAAATCTATTTTTTTCATACTAATAGTGAGGTCTATATATTCTTCGTATACTGCCTTTCATTTTCAGTTCGTAACACTGTGAGACTCTTTCTCGATCCTATCCAAAGTCTCAGGTTAGCATCATAATTCATAATAAATAATATATGTTCTAAGACATCATTACATACCAGTTAAGCTTAAAGATACTAATATCAATTTCTTCTAGAAGTGTGCCAATTATTGGACTAAGAACTTTAACGATGAAATCACGTTCTCTATGTTTCAAAATCAGGACATTTACTTCTCTTCGTAAGCAACAATGACTAAACAAAAACCAGTCAGTATTTGCAAAGAAGATCTAATATTAAAGTATTTAAAATAAACTTACAAAAAGTTGACTATTTCAACAATTAGCAATGAATCTTCAGATGAGGTTTCCAAGTTTATAAACCTATTCTTTCACATTATTAGATCATTTAATGATCGCTAACAAATGGATATTATAATAATTGAGTGTATTGTGAAAAGTAAGAAACTATATAATGAATGACTTACTATTCGGCCAGGTCCATCACGTAGCAATTGTCACACATTATTGTTAATTTTGTCTATAGAAAGCTTTTTTCTTGATTCAATGAACAATTGTGAATAGTCTGACGCCTTAAGGATCCTGTTCCATTCGACTTTAGTCTAATCTGAGAGATCCACAATTCGGGATTCAATTGATCTGAAAATATTTAGCGAATAAGCTTACACATTATTTATGAAAAAGCAATTATAATAACATACTGCACTCGCAAATTGTCTTTTTTTAATCGTTCCATAACCTTTATCCATATTTTTTCAAGATTTAGGTTGAAGAAAAGTAAGGCAGATACCTATATTAAATTGCCATTGAAAGATATCAGATATTATGAAAAATGTGGTAAAAATAAACAAAGATGTTCTTATCGTAATTACCTTATCTACAATGATTTTGTCAATTTCTGTGTCATCTACCTTCTGGTCCTCTTGGTCGTTAGCTTGTAAACTACTTGATGTTTGTACAGCTTCGGGAAAAGACAATAATGTATCATCTGCTTTTTCTTTTTCGATTATTTTGTAAAAGTTCCGTCATTTTCTGAGAAGAAAAATATCTTTTTCTACGTTTAATATACTTTTTTCGAGTTGCTTAACTCTTTCGGCAAACTGTAAATCAAAGTTTCTTTCGTAAAAAGTATCATATCATTGCTGACAACTTTCTAGAACAGCAAAACCTTCAAAGGTATTACTAATATTTAGTAGTGCGTGGCAAAAACTACATATACAGCCAGGAATATTTTTATATGTGTTATTTTTAATAATTCTTAGTGACCTCTTCCAATCTTTGTAAACTGTCAACTAGAGTAATATTGTACTTTCATTTTTTAGACGATAATTTAGATAATGTTTTAACTGCCAATTTTGGGCTTCGACTTTCATAAAGTAATCATTCACGTCTTTTTCTTTGTTAGATACTACAAAGTTCGAGTATTTGTTTGTTCTTAATACTGCAGTCATGTTCGACAGTCCGAGTGTAAAAATATAAAAAATACAGAACACGTAAAAGATACATCAAAGTTTCACAAAGCATGTGACTCATTAGAGCCTACGGTTTCGTGTAATGCAAAAATAAAAAATGAAATAAAAATTTTATATAGTAAAAAATATACTTTATTATTTTATTGATTATTATAATGTTTAATATTAACTCCTGAAATAGGTAATCATATATTTGAAAAAATTCTTTTTTTTCTTGCCAAAATTGATTTAAATTCAAATCACCTTCCTCAAAAATTTCTAAGATTATAAATAGTTAAAATATGAAAGGGTTTCTAGGAAAATCAGGTTCTGAGAAATTTTTTACTTAAATTAAGAGCTTAATACATTTTAATCTAATAACATCAAAAACTAAAATGCAATAAAAATCTCAATTTTGTTAAAAAATTCCCGGAACTTGATTTTCCTAGCAATCAACCCATATGTCTATTTTGAGATAATTGAATAAATTGAGGGTTAAAACATTGAATTGCATTGAATAATGGTAAAGCAGAATGAGAATTTATATTTTTCAAAAAATTAGTGAGAAATACATAATAGATCACGTGAAAAATGCAAAAAATAATAAAATTGCCTTAAAAGTGCGATACATGTGTGATGCAGAATTATCGTGTATAAATAAATGTGAATGCACAAATCTGTAGGCTCTATGACTTATTAATATCAATATCACTTATCAGGTTGCAATTGCGTCCTTGTATCTTAAATACTTAGGAAACGCATAGCTTCATAATGGTCCAGATATTGGCGGTGAAGTTATGAATTGCTTGAGATTAACAACTGTTCATGTTAGTTCAGATATTGGTGGTGGCGGTTGATCCACTAACTTTGCTGAAGTACCTCACGACGGTCCAGATATTGGTGGTGAGGCCTTCCCTCGTATCTTTAGATATTTAGAAGATGCCATAGTTTTATAACGGTCTAGATATTAGCGGTGAAGCTATGGGTTAGTGGATATCTAAGTTATCTCTTGGTAGTCTTCAACCTTTTTGTCAAGAAAAATTCTCAATCAAAAATACGCGTTTTGTTTTTATTCTTCTGGTTTAATATTTATTTTCTAATACGTAATTACTCATATCACATCTCACAAGATAAAAAGATAAGGCCCGATATGAGTAGAAACTTTATTAATTTTTTAGTAAAAAAGGTTGATGCTATCAAAGAGGAAGGGAGTACGCAGATCTTAGACCATTTAATGCGAGTCTCAGCATCAAGTTATTTCTTTGTTCTCTCACTATTTTGAAAAATATCTATAACTAATTTGTTTCTATTGCTAATAAATACAAGATTCTCACCCTCATACTCTTTTGCTATAATAGATTCCCAAAATAAATTATTCACCCATATTTACAGAATTTTCATCTATCTATATCACTCTCATCTATACAGACTATGTAGTAGATTATTTTTCACAAGAGAACTTCCCTGAGATAAAATAATTTCGAATCTATGGGAAGAATTCTTGGGATTAGCAATGATAAGAAAATAAAACAGGTGGGGGCTTTCAATTCACATTTACTGCTATAATTTATTTTAATAATATTTCATACCGCCTCATAATATTTCGATTTTTTTATCATCAGTTCGATACTGCACCAAACATCAAGAATTCAGCACATGAAAATGCTTATAATTTTATTGCCGAAAAATTTGTTCGATATACTGTGTACTGTATCTTGGCATGTGACGAAAATCTGAATCCTGATTAGACGTGTGAAAGTGATCACAGTGAATATCAAATGTGCGGAGAAAGGTAATATGTCCACTTTATCTTTGAGCATTTACAAATCCAAAAAATTTGATTAACATCGTGATGACGTAAATCTAGAATCAAGCTGAGAAACTAAACTAACTTACTTTGTTATTACTTTGGGAATATACCTGTTTATTTGATTAATAATATTGATGATATAGACAATGGTAAGTTATTTTGTTTGACTTTTGTTTTATTTGCATAAGATGGATAAAAGGATTAGTGAACCAAGGCCTCACCTTTTTATATGATTTGTAGTGGGTCTAAGAATCGATTTAGAGAAAATTAAATTATTGTATTGCGTACAGATACCTCTATCTAATTATCTGTTTATCAGATGAAATTATGGTTTTATGACAAACTGGTGTGACATCAATTAATACTAACGGAGCAAATAAAATTAGGTTATTACCAAGAAATATATTATTTATTGTCAAGATCTGAAAAACATAGAAGATCACTCATGGTTTTTTTTGTGTAATTACATATTGTTTTAACCATTATTTGTATTCTACCAACAACGTAAACAATTTTTTATTATATAGAATGTATGTTGCTATAGTACCCTAGTCTTTTATTACATTTCATAGGATCAGATCTGTAAATCAGTAGATTAAGAGGTACAATTTCCATTCTTGTCTCATTCTAACGTCAGGGACATTAGATTGTTTTATGTAACACTAATTTAAAGATTCGTAATATATGTATTATGCTTAGAGCTCTGAATCAGGTCAGGTCGACCTGTTTATCTGACCTGAACTGACCTGAAAATTCAGGTCAGATCAATAGATTTTTAGGTTGATGTCAGGTTAGGTCAACAGGTCGAACCAACCCGACCTGATCTGATAAAAATTCAGGTCAACCAATCATTCTTCTTAAATAATTTATTATCGTTAAATTAGAAATAACAAAGTTGATT